TCAGCCAGTTAATTCCTTTTAATGCAATTAGTCAACATCAGTTTGCTTCTCCTTTCCTTGTTGCCTTTTTTATATTTTTTGTTGTTGCCTCAAATAGAAATGCTTTGATTGCAATTCCAGATACCATTATTTAAATATACCTACCAAACAGCTAGTACAATCAAAACCCCCAAAATAATACCATTTCACCCTAACACAAATGGCACTGAAAGCAGGTTGAATAAAGGATCAGATATTCTTATTGAAATACAAAAATATAGATATAATTCTAATTAATTTTGCAATATGAAATACACTTTCTGATATAGAAATGAGGTGCATTTTTCTTTATCAGGCATATGTTTTAGTAAAATTTAGTTTCTAATTAACAAAGTGTTTAACTTATGAATTGAATTCACAGTGTACCTGATATATATGTATTGAAATATTTTTGCAGTGGGTACAAAATTTTATTAGTGTAATAAAAACGGACAATTCCTAACAAAAAAGATGAGAAAACAAGAAATTTATTACTGTAAAAAGGTAATACCAAAAAATAACAATTTTACCAAAAAAAAAGCTAAAATAGTTTATATGTCTACCCTCATTGGAGCAAAGACTGTACAGCAAATCAGTGCTTAACAGGGCTATTTCAGAGTAACACTTGAAAGTTTGGGAATCTGTGCACATTAAGTCTTACCAGCCATCTCTGTAGAAGTGTTGGATGGCTTTAAAAGTAATTAGCATATAAATTTTGTACTTTCTCACATGGAATATTTGTCTTGAGTGTGTTATTTTTAGTCACTGTGCACATATTTGTTATTGATCTTTGCCCTGAGGAGATAGGACCAATAAACCAGTTTAACAGTCTTTTTTCTTCTTTCTTTTTCGTTTTTTCTTCTTTCTTTCTTTTTCTTCTTTCTTTTTCCTTTCTTTCTTTTTTCCTTTCTTTCTTTTTTCTTTCTTTCTTTTTCCTTTCTTTTTTTTTTTTTCTTTTTTTTCTTTTTTCTTTCTTTTTCTTCTTTCTTTTCTTTTCTCTCCTTTTTTTCTTCTTTTTTTTTTTTCTTTTTCCTTTTTTTTTTTTTCTTTTCTTTTCTCCTTTTCTTTTCTTTTTTTTTTTTCTTTTTTCTCCTTTCTTTTTTTTTTTTCCCTTTCTTTTCTTTTTCCTTTCTTTCTTTTTTTCTCTTTTCTTTTTTTTTTTCTTTTCTTTTTCCTTTCTTTTCTTTTCTCCTTTCTTTTCTTTTTCTCCTTTCTTTTCTTTTCTCTTTCTTTCTTTTTTCCTTTCTTTTCTTTTCTCCTTTCTTTTCTTTTCTCCTTTCTTTTCTTTTTTCTCCTTTCTTTCTTTTTCTCCTTTCTTTTTTTTCCTTTTCTTTTTCTCCTTTTCTTTTTCTCCTTTCTTTTCTTTTTTTCCTTTCTTTTCTTTTCTCCTTTCTTTTTCTTTCTCCTTTCTTTCTTTTTCTCCTTTCTTTTCTTTTCTCCTTTCTTTTCTTTTTCTCCTTTCTTTTTCTTTTTCCTTTCTTTTCTTTTTCTCCTTTCTTTTTTCTTTTTTTCTCCTTTCTTTTTTTCTCCTTTCTTTTCTTTTTCTCCTTTCTTTTCTTTTCTCCTTTCTTTTCTTTTTTCTCCTTTCTTTTTCTTTTTCTCCTTTTCTTTTCTCCTTTCTTTTCTTTTTCTCCTTTTCTTTTCTCCTTTCTTTTCTTTTTCTCCTTTCTTTTCTTTTTCTCCTTTCTTTTCTTTTTCTCCTTTCTTTTCTTTTTCTCCTTTCTTTTCTTTTTCTCCTTTCTTTTCTTTTTCTCCTTTCTTTTCTTTTTCTCCTTTCTTTTCTTTTTCCTTTCTTTTCTTTTTCCTTTTTTCTCTTTCTCTTTCTTTTCTTTTCTCCTTTCTTTTCTTTTCTCCTTTCTTTTCTTTTTCTCCTTTCTTTTCTCTTTCTCCTTTCTTTTCTTTTTCTCCTTTCTTTTCTTTCAATATCTTGCAATATTCCCATTTTACAGCAATATACTTTTTGTTATGAATTGAGTTTATTTGTATTTGTTTTTATTGCACTAATAAAACTAAATATTGCATATTTTTCTTTCTTTCATGGAGTTTGTTGATTATTTTTAATGCAAAACTTTTTCATTTGAAAAATATCTATGAATAGCAGGTAAGTTTTTCTTGTATATTATTCATTAATCTTTTTGGAAATAAAACTTTAGCAACACATTGTACCAGTCAACTATCTTTGCACCAAAATGACAGATTTTTCAAAAATTTTAATTAACATTATTTCATTTGCCAAATATGCAAATTAGTTCATCTTTATAAAGTTGCAGATGAAAGAATAATTAAAGTTAATTTATTAGTTGTGAATCATTCTCTTATTAATGAGTTACTTCATTAAAATTCACATTCTTACTCAAAATTATCTTGCTTTATTTATTTTTTATTTTTTCAGCCAGATGTAAAAATTATTCAAGACCTGCCATTTTGTATTTTAAAATGTATAATTCATTGAACCAATCATGTTAAATAGACATTTTTGTCAAATTAAAATTACTGTCACATTCAGGGGATGGGAGTAACTATCATTCTTTAAAGACTCATTGAAAAAAGGTTGGTAAAAGATTTTGAAGAAATTGATTTTAATTACATTTTAGAACTAGATTTTAACCTTTTCTGTTCATTTAAGTTTATATGGAGCTAAATTAAGCTATATTAGCAGCTGAAAGTTTGTAATTTCTTTTTTTACTTTAATGGTAAAATATCATCTGGTAACATTTTCTCGACATGTTATTTATTTTTAATCAAATTTCTCATTGACTGAATTGACATTTGCTTTGAGTAAATATTTGCTGACTTAATTTGCTATAATATGTTTGATAAATAAAACTAATCTCCTCCATATTAAAATAGAACATAAATACTTCTGTGCATCTCAGTGCTTTGTAGTATGATCATTGGCCAGGAGAACCCAATGCTTATTGTTCACATTTTGGGATCAGAATGCAAGTCATTAATCACTCAGTTTGTTGTAAATAAAATAAGTGATTGCAGAAAACCCTCAATACCTGGCAGACCTCAACAAAATCCAAATCCAACAAAATTTAGAAGCATGGCAGAAGGAGTCCACCTGTCTTGTTCATGAAGTGCCTTATGTCCAATTTCATGATTAATTGCCAACATTAATCACAGATTATTATAAAAGCATCCAAGTAACTTTATCCATTTTGAATGAGAATTTACCAAAAGCAAGTTTTCAATTGAAGATATATCTTCATGGCAACGTTTTGCATTGGATTTCAGAACTTTGTGAGTGTATGTATAAAGCTCAGATCCTTGCGCTTCTCTGGAAAGTATCTGACTCCTTCTGCCATGCTTTATCTTTACTAGAGTCAGATCAAAACAAAAAATATGAATAGCAGCTCAGAATGAGAAATCATAGAAGCAAGTTCAAATCCTAGTTTGAGTTTGTTACATTCACTTATGCACAATCAATAAAGGGAAAGGTATGAATCCATCTCTCCCCCCCACCATGGGTTAAATAGTATGACTTTTATCTGGAAAAAAAAATCATTGTTATTCTCAAAAAAGATTACTAATGCAATATTGACTCTCACTCCCACAGAAAAAATTTATTCTTAAAATCCAAAATGTTTTAGCTTTAAATAACCCACAAAGTGTTCCTAAGCTGTAAAAAAAAAAAAAAATCAATCATCTAAAATTGCTGCCATATCTGGGCTGGAGCTGCCCAATCTTCACCTTCCAGCCTTTTCAGGGCTCAGAATTGTTTATTTGACATCGTGAAGGATGATTTACTTTCTGCCCTGCATACCCTTTCTTACAGATATGACACCACAAGCCTATAATCATCCTATTATTTTCATGGTGAACGTTCAGATGAGCTCCATTCTTTAGTGCCACCAGGTCAGACCTTTACAGCTATGTCCAGAGAGTTGAATCACCCTCATTCCCTATGTATTCCATATTGATAAGGAGGAAGTTCCACTCTGACCGCTTCTTCCCAAGAATCATTACTTTTTTGAACAAATTCCCATGTGGATACTTCCTTGATCAATCTTAACCTCTTCAAGTCTAGAGTCAATTGTTATATATCATCCATAGCTTCTCCAATCTTTACTTCTTCTTATGTTCATATCACACACTTCATTCAGTAACTCTCTACCTTGAGTAGGCTTTGTATTGAGAGAACATTAGTATTTAAAAAAATATATATGATCATTTGGCAACAGGATCCACTTTGTACATATCAAAATCCAATGATGCTTAAGTCCCTTATATAACATGGTGTATTAGTTACATATAGCCAACACACATCCACTTGTGTTCTTTAAATTATTTCTGAATTACTTATAACTTGTGCAATTTTTATATAAATTGTTGTTATAAACAACCCCACAACAAAAAATAATTTAGAAAATTTTTAGGCAAAAGAAAAACACCTCAGTTTTAAATTATTTACCAAAAGTCAATGACTTGTAGGATGATAATAAAAAAAATTGTTTTTTAATTTAATAAAGGATAAAATTGTATTATATTTTTTTAAAAATTTCTATTCAAAATATTTGGACAAAAAACAAAATGTACACAACATAAGTTGCAAACAATGTTGAGTACAGGAGAAAGATTAAGGATCTGTGAAACGGCAGGTCATAACAGGATCTGCCTACACATTTACATGAATCCAGTATAGAGCTTTAACACACAGTGAATTTGTTTAACTTTTTTTTTTTTTTTTTTTTTTTTTGTAATATTTTTAATCCAATGTTTGTTCAATCCACATATGTGATGGATGATTTGTGTGTGTGTGTGTGTATAGTATTGATTATTGTTGCACAGTTTCCAATAACTTAACATTTAGGGGGTTAACATGCCAACGTTTTTAATATTTTATATTTTTAAGTATTTGTTGTTAGTTTGTTTCTATGTGTTGTTATCTTCCCTTAAACATTGAAATATGCTTAAGTGTTTCAATGTCTTTTCCATAGTAAATTTGATTTGTTTCTCTTTATTTTATTTTTCCTTGCATGTTTCAATTGTTTTCTTTCACTATTTTCCTTCTATGTTTACCCAACCATATTTCCCTTCCATATTCATCTTTTTCCTCTCTTTCCTGCCCCTTTTGTCAGCTTGCTAAACAAGAAGAAGAGCTTCGTATGGAAGAGGAGGCTTATTATGAAGCCAGGAGGGAGGCTGCCCGTATTGCCAGACTCCAGCGTGTTGCTAAGGAACAAGCCGCAAAAAATTTCTCCAAAATTGGTGCTACTGGCCGCTCTTGGCTAGGAGATAATGAAAACGAATGGGATGTGTAAGTATAGCCTTTTATGATAATGTGAATCATAGAACTAATGAGCTGTGTGTATATACATATACACATACACATTTGGGGCTACTCTCTGGATTTTAAAGAATCACCTAAAAATTGAAGGTTGTATGCCTTTCAAAACTAAATTGCTAGCTCACATTGAACTAAAAGGATCTTGAAGGGTTTCATCATATATCAATAATAATAATAATAATTAACCCATTGCTGCATAAAGTCTACTTAAAATTTTAGCTTGCTTTGCTTAATCAACCTTGCTGGCTAATGGTAATCTTAGGGCTGGTGGATTTTAAATTTTAGATAATGCCCTCTAAAAAATTGAATGCCATGTAGTTTTTTCTTTTTAGATGATAAATTATATAAAAACTCTCTGAATGTTCTTTTTTTTTTTCTGAGCACTTTCAGCTATACATTTAGCCATTTTCAAAGATGAACTATTTTAACTGTTAAAATTTGTTCTTATTTAACAGTCAAAATATTTCATCCTGAAATGTGCATGAAAGAAGGATTGTTGCCTTGTCTGTTGTATCCAATGAAATGTGCGTACATATATATAAAAAATATATATATATATATATACACACACACACCTATTTATACTATTTGGACTATTGTCCTCATCTTTGTTGCCATATTTATTCACAAAGTTTCGGCCATTGTACATTTTTCAGGTGGTTGAAATGTCAACCTGAACGCTTGCTGGGATAGACTGTTCTAGTTTCACATGCGATGTCTAATGGATGTCAGTTATCAGTTATTTCCTGTTAATTCACCTCTCCAAGTTCTCCACTGCTTTACCCAGGTATTGAACTCACAGCTCTTTGGGTCCTGTCACTGGAACTAACCAACGCCTTTATCCACTGTGCCATGTGTCCAGTGAGTGAAATAAAGGGTTCAGTTTGACATTCCAACCATCTGAAGATGGCCGGAACTTACAATGGCCAAAACGTTGTGATAAATATGGCAACAAAGATGAGGACAATAGTCCAAATAATGTAAATAGTGTACATAATACTTCATCTCACAAGTATAGACAGACATCTGTTTATTTTGTTTCAGAGACACTAAATCACAGACTTTAATTTTTTAAAAATTCTCTAAAACTAAAAAAAAAAAAATTCTTTTTACTTTGATTCTCAGATTCAAAGTCCAGATTTGAAGGAAATGTAAAAAAAATCAGGATTTTTTTCTTATTTTAATACTTAAATTGTATTTTCCTTTTTAAAAATATACATGAGTATTTTTTCTCTACTGTATCCTGCAGGGAATGTGGCTATAAAACTTCCCCAAAGGCAATCAATTTGGTCAATGGCGCTGACCTATAACCCATTTTTTTTTTTTTTTATAGATAGGTTAAATCCAAGTTTGTTGACTTTCTTCTGTCTGAAACTACTTGTACTGCTGAAAAAAACTACTTTTTCCTGTGATGAATAAAGCCTAATTTGTTCATCCTGATAGCTAACTCTGAAAAGTTATAAAATCAACTTTGGATCATGTTATCCAATTCTGAATTGGAGCATTCAAGGAAACACTGAAGGCGAGTCATGGGGGTAGGAGCAACTAAATATGTTATGTCATGACCTTGGTTCTGTAATTAGAACAAATTGTATCCTATTGTTGCTTTTTTCTTAATTGTTGATTTAATTCATTAATTTCTTTATTTTTCCTTCTATGCATTCAATACTATAAAGTGGACAAACATTAAAACACAAAAAAAAATCATTGAAACAAAATAGTTTCTTAATGCTAAATCATTCTTCCTGTTGTATTCTGCATCATCTCGGGAACCCCACACTACTCATAAAACAGTATCAACAAAAAGGATCCTTTATTTTTGATATTCATTTTATTAAGAATGGCAGCTTGGATTCTAAGAGGCAGTAGGAGGACTAACATCACAGGAATGCATGTCAGCTTAATATTCCCCTGCAGGTGGTATTAGCCAGTCACAAACCAGGGCTTGGGAGGCATATCAACATTTCAGAATTCTTGAGACCCTTTATGGAATCAGTGTTGTTTTGGACTTCAAAACTCAGGAAATCTATCACTGTCAAAATGCCTTGCCCATGGTTAGCGATTAGTCAGAGTGCCTAATGGGCAAGGCATTCGGGCTAATCGCTAACCATTCTGGTTCAGGTCTTCACATTCTCCAACATTCCTTTTTTTGTGCCTTTATATTTTATTTATCATTATTATAATTATTATTATTATTATGTTAAGAGATCTATACTTTTGTAGCAAGGTCCAATTTCACTTTTGAAAAAAAGTTATTCTTTTAAAATTTTTCTTAATTTTATTCATTGTCTTTTAAGAGATTTTGCTTACTTTATTTTACTGATTGATGTTTAATTTGATCTATTTTTAAACTGAAGCAAAACAGAATTTTGATTTACTTGGGTCAATGTTGCTAAGAAATCCTTGTAACACTGAAGATCTATAGGTCTTTCATTTCTTCTTGCCATCCATATATTTTGTAACAGTTTTTTTAAACAGATCTGCTAGATGAATGTGACTAAGAAATTTAGCTTAAAATATATTAAATACACAATACTGTAAATATTTCCCATCCCCACTCTTAAAATATACTAGCTTGATCCTTAATCAGTTCACTATATTTGGCCAATATTCAAATATTACCGTATGAAGTCATCACAAATAGCAATTTGGTTATTGTTGAAGAAAGTGTTTTGTTGTTTTGAGGGCTGTGTACAAATCAACACTAAACAAGCAACTGAAGTTTAAATTGAAAGAATAATTCTAAAATTTTTTCTCATGATGCTAAAACATTGTTACTTATTATCATTGCCATTAATCACATAAAATTCAAGAATGTTTGTCTTGATGTCTTGACATTAACTGTCACTTGATTTATTTTTGACTTGTGCATTAATTTGTTAGGTTTCATGTAACAAAAAATGAGTACTAAGAGTTTTTTTTTTTTTTTTTTAATTAACTCTCACAATATGAATACATTGAAACAGTTTCCAAGAATGTATTTCTATCTCTAATTCACATTTATTTTTGTGTTGATCTTTGTAATCCTGAAAGTTCTTGACTGTATATTGCAGTGCTGGAGGGGAAGATGATTTTGAAATGTTTTTAGCAAGTGTAAAGGCCCGATCCTTATCTGCAAGAACACAGCTGCGCCAAGGTAAGATTTAAAAAAAAACCAAAAAACTTGATTTCATTTGTTTTGTTAATGTGTTGTCCTCTTTGTCTCTTCTTCCTCCTTTCAGCTGGTTTCTCCTCTGCAATGCATCCATTTAGCTTCATTACATTGAAGTTTCATGCTGTCTTAAAGAGATGATCAATTCAATTATCTCTGATCTGAAGAAGGACTTTTATCAAATATTGTTCATTTGTGTTTTCATAAAATTTCCATATTATGCGTACTATTTTAAATGGGGCTTTGGATTGAATAAACAATTGTTGTTCTTCATTGACCAGACAGGATTTGGTGTCACTTAGATAAGAATTTTAACTCCTGAGTGGTCTATCCTGCAGAAGTTATGAAATAGGAACTCACAGTGTAAAACATCAAATCAAATACTCTGATGTTATATATTCTTCATACAATTGTGTATTTTTTCTACAAACACACACACACACATATATATATATATATATGATTCAAGCCTATAAGTACACATTTTAGATAATGTGATTAAAGTTTCAATGACTGTATTTGTCTGTAGTATCTTTTGAATTATGCAAAGATTAATGGAGGGGAAGTTAATCACTGGGAGTTGAGATGATTTATTAAAAATGCTCTTGTCAAGTGAAAAGCAGAAGAAAATGTCATTCAAACTATAAAATGTTGTTGGCAAAGGGTCCTAAAAAAAAAAAATGCATAGAAACATTCTACACCTACTCTTAACTAAAACTGATGTAGACATAAAAAAATGGCTTTTTATATATATATATATATATGGTTTCCGGTCATCAGATGTGATAAGGTAATTTAATTTATAGCCCATCTTATCCTTAAAAATTACAACACATTTTCCTCACAAGAAGTTTTCTTTCATTCTGACTTGAAGATGCTCAAACCAACAGATGTCAGCATTTTTAGCTTATCCACTTTGTTTCATCATCTCCACATGTATATATTAGCAGTTAATCTAAATTTTGTTTGCATTTGTAAATACAAAAGACTATTTCTTCATTGTTCTGTCAGATAGAGAATTATGTATAAAATATTTCTTACACAGAAGAGACTTTGCTTGTAAAAATAGTGCTTGTTATTTGAAATTATTAACTGCAGTTTTCCTGATTTTCTGATTGCTATAATCCTTTACAAAGTTTTTGATCTGAGGTAAAGGAATTTTTTTAAAAATTTATTTAACTTATTAGATTGAGAGAGCTCTTTTAAGCAGTGCCCATGAGTATAATCTTTTTGTTTTTATCTCGGTGATAAGTTTCTATGGTATTCAGTGGTATTTTCTTAATCTATGTATTCCTAGTACTCCTTTTATGATTGGGACTGTGGTTGTGTTTAGACACCAAATTCTTGTAATTTCTAGATCCTTATATTTTGAAAGCTATTTATTTTGTAGAGATGTTTTTTTATCAGACAGGATAACTGTCTTTGTAAAAGCACTTACAGCCTTTTCAAGTCTGTTATTATATCTGTTCTATTGGCTTGTATAATGTGGTCAATATGTATGTTGAAGTCCCAGAGCACTGTAACATTTTCACCTTCGAGTCCTGGTGATGGTTTGTATTTATACCATATTCTTGTATCAGGAAGCTTATAATGCTGTCATATCTTCCAATGCAAATATTTCTCTACCCTGTCATGTCTATATTTAAATTTATTTGAGGCTAGACTAGAAAACTCAGATCAATAGCTTTCTTGGTGTTTGTACAAAAGCAATATTTTGGGATCTGTCCCATTCATTAAAATATGTGCCTGGTAGGATCTCAGCAGGTTTGATCTTGAACAGCTTAGATGAATCCCTCTGTTTCTGGTTTCAGTCCAGAGCTCTGTAATCTCTGATGGGTCAGATTTTTGTCAGCATCAGGGCTTTGTGCTTATAATGAATAGTGGCCATGTAAGGGATTTTTTTTTGGAATTTCAAGTTAGCTCGGCACTTTGTTTTTTTTGAAGTTTTTGGTCTCTAATTTGGTATTTTATCTTTCATTTTACTTGCATAGTTTTAGATCCTCTTGAAGTTTTGACTTCCTTTGATAATTGAATGTATTTTGTTTTTAAATGCTGGTAAACAAGCTTTAGCTTGTTGGGTAATTCAAGATGTATTTCAAGACCTATAGTTGTAGTTTTGTATATAGGTTCTGGTTGGGTCAACCCTCTATCCCCATCTGCCCTGCACAGGTACAGTTGATTTGTATCTGTTTTGGAGTGGTTCATGTTATACATAGTAAAATGTTTTCTGAACTTTTTATGTATTTTTGTATCTCTCTTAGATCCCAGTTTATAATGTGTATTTTGCTTGCTTCTTCCCAAATTCCTTAGCAATATTATCACTGATTTTTTTTTTTTTTTTTTTTTTTTTTTTTTTTTTTTACTAAGAAATCTAATTCCTTATCACCTTCTGAAAACAGTTTTTTTGTATTTTGAAGAATAAAAGATTAATGCTTTTTTTTATAGCCTTATTCTTTTCCAATGCTTTTTTTTTTTATAGCTTTAGTCTTTTTTGGTGCTTTTTTTGTAGTCTTAGACAAAGAACTTTGCAACCATACAAATCTTGTTTGCATCTTTTATGAAGTTCCAGGAGTGTATAACATTTGTGTCAAGGAACTGATGTTTTTTGTTAAGTAATTGGTTGGTAATTTTAAGGGTTAACAGTGTCATTAGTTTCTGTAGATAAACATGTAATGCCTTGGACCAGTGATTCTAGCTTTTGTTATGGAATGTTGATGGCATCTGAGTACAGACTTGCTAATGGTTGGTGTATGGATGTAAAGACAGTTAACCAAAAATTATTATATTTTATCTATTCCTGGAGATTTCCGTTTTCTTTTTTGATTTCATGAGAAATTATTGTACTTGTTTAATGTGTATGTTACTCCATTTCTGTTCCTTTATTTCTTTGTATTTCTGCTTAGTGTTTTTAATCCATTTTATACCCTTTTTAGAATTCTTTTCCTTTCTCTATCTCTTAACTCCAAAATTATCTTAATTCTTTAAATGATGTGGTTTTGTCCTATTTCCCTGTAGAAGTTTTTTTTATGTTATATTTGAAAATGTTTCATTTATAATAAAAAAAAAAAATTTAAACAAAAAAGTTATTTTCTCATATCTTTTTTTTTTTTTTTTTCTTTGCTCTTTTAGCTGGATACATTGCTTTAGTATCTCCTTTGTAGTTGGTATGTCAGTTTCTCCTTTTATGTCATAGTTATGCATTACTTTTTTTTTTTTTTCCTTTTTTTTTTCTTTAATAATCTCTTGCATTTTACTTTTATTCCTTTTTGATATTTCATCTAAAATTGAAATTCACTAAAAAGAATTCTTAATCTCTTTCTCCATTTTATTTTGCCATAATAGTTCTTTATTTTTTATTCATTAGTGTAGCCATATTTTTCTTTAGTTTTTGTATTGACATTATTACTGTTACTGCGGAGCATATTACCTCATGATGATTAAATTAAGGTTAATTTCATTTATTATTTCAATGATTTCTTTGTTTGCTATTTTAATATTTTTAATTCATTTTTTTTCTTTTTTTCCCAGCATAGTTGATTTTGTCCAATTTTTCCATTTTTGCTATGTTTTTATCAATTCACTTATATTTGTTTTCATTTCTTCAACTTCCTTATTATTTGTGTCAATTGCTTTATATCTTAATTAGTTTTCCTGTTCCCGATTTTCTTATCCATTTTTAATATTTTTTATTGGACTTTCATTTTTAATAATATTCATCATATCAACTTGTGCTTTTTTTTTTTTTTTTTTTTTCCTCAGTGTTTCCAATTTTTTTTATGTCTGTATTCAGTTATCATTTAATATTTTCTTCCAGTTCAACAATATCTGCATTTGTCAGTTGTTTTTCTTTTTAATATTTTTATTTGACATTTGCTACTTTCTTAACATTTGCATTTTTCCTGATGTTCAGGAATTTTCTTCATATTCTGTAGGTCTTATTAATGATACTCTGTTCTGAAGGATGGTGTATAGCATTGCAATATGCTTGAATAATTTCTTTATAATTGTCTCTATTCTATTTTTTCTTTCATTTAGTTAATATTTACTAGATGCTGATTGAGATCAATTATCAAATTGGATTTCTCTGCTGATAGTGACCATTCCCAGTATTTGGAGCATTAGATCTATTAGCATATTGTCCTGATATCCCCCCCACCTTTGAGGGGCTGCAATTCTTGGTTAACCATGTATCAGTGGATGTAGGATGAGCTTGTTATTTGTTTCATTATTAATTGCTAAGTTCCCATTTTATCCTTTTTGGCAAGGCACATTTTATATGTGACTACTACTGCTACTACTATTAGTAGTAGTAGCATGGTATGATTGTCCTGAATGCTTTCATCTAATTCTTGATATACTGAAGAGACCAGCTTAGACCAGTGGCCCGAGTGTTTCCACTCGGGTTGCCCACGTTAGAACCGGCCTTGTGTCACATCCTGACTCAGTGAGGTGTCAAGTAAATATTTATACTGAAGAGACACATATTGTTCGTAGTAGTAATAGAAGTATCACTTTTAACTGATTAACTTTCAAGTGAATGACTGATGAAAGATGTACTTAGAATTATTATTATTATTATTATTATTATTATTATTATTATTATTAATGATGATAATAATGAAACAAAAGAAAAACTTTGATATTCCAAATAATGCTCTTTGTTTCTGTAATGAATTATTTTTTCCTGTTGATCAATTTTAGAACAAATGGTTTAATGTCCTGTGTTTTGGAATAACATTTTATAGAGGACTTTCTATCAGATTTTCATGAATTCAATTTTGTCTTATTGAATTATGATTTTTCTCTTTGGTTTTTCCTTAGTATTTGAAGAATAAATATATATGTGCTGCATGAATCTAATTGATCAGTTAAACAACTTGTAAAGATAATTTCAAAGAATGAAAATAGGATTTTCTATTTTTTTTTTTTTTTTTTTAAAAAAACTGTAGTTATCAAGCCTGAAACAGTTTTACTACAAAGAACATTTGAGACCTGCAAAATTTCTGATGGATTGCAGAGAAATCTGATACAACACATTCATAATCTGCAAAATGTTCTCTCATAAATCAAATGATACTTGTCACTCATCTTTCTTTGATTTTTTTTTTTTTTTAACCTTTCGTATAAAATAAAAAGCAAACAAACTAAAAAGACATCAAATGAGTGGTTCTGTCGTAAATCCAAATGAGTAGCACATCTTGAAACTTTGTCCATTGGATAGTTTGGGATCTTCTAGACAAAGGTAATTTAAAAAAGGTAATCAGTATTTAATTTGAAGTCTCAGCTAATTTTGTTAATATTTCAATGTTTATTGACATAATCATTGACATTGAATAAACATCAAAATGTTAATAAAACCAACCATAATGAATATTGATATCCTGCATATTTCTTCATCTTTAGTTTTGGTATTTTTTAATCTTGTTTCTTAGACCAAATTGTTGATAATTGTTGCAAGTTTTTTTAAAAGCCTTGAACCAGCATTGCTTTAGAAATATTGAGAACAGTTCTGGAAATGGTTGAATTTTTTTAGAAGCAAACACATAAGTACACTTGCATATCATTAATGGTGTGCCATAGAGCTAACTACAAAACTTCATATCAAATAGAAGCTTGTCTCTTCAGTGATGATATTTCATTGGATACAACATTTCTAATATGATTTGGCAGTCAAATTAACAGCAGAGGTTAGTAAATTTGGCAAAATAGAAAAATTCTCAGTATTTCTTTCAGATGAATCTCATTTTTCTGGTTACTTTGAAAGCTTTATTTAAAATTCAGTAATGGATTCTTCTCTCATTTTTTAACCTGCTCATATTGGGATAATCAAATTGATTTTCAGAAGGCAACTTTGCAGGTTTTGCTGTCACAGCAAACATTGAAAACATGACCAACTTTTATTGTGAATATAAAATCACTTGTGATGCTCAATATCATATTCTTGATATTTTATAATCTAAATACATTTTTTTGTTGCAAGCAGAAAGAATAGTGTGTTGTTTTTAAATCAACATTCTCAATCCTACCAAAAGTTGAATGCAGATGACTACCACTCATGCGGAAATATGTATACTACTTTTCTACTAAGCAGCCACTTAAATATTCAGAATTTTTGATTAAGTTCAGAGATATGCTCTATATGCATACTAATTTTTTCTCAGCTTGTACAGAAAAGAATTTTCTGGTTCATTTGTCTTATTTTGGGAAGTGGGTTGAGCAGCACCCTCTTTTTTTTCTTTTTTTTTGTGTGACACATTTCATCCATTAGGATTTCATCAGACTGGGCTTTGTTGACATTGTCACAGCAACACATGCACACAAAATGAAATATGCAGGTAGTTTTAAAATTTTTGAAAGAATTTTTTTTCTTTTTTCAGCCTAGCCAAAATAATTTGTATTCATTTTTTGGCTAGATTGAGAAAAAAAATAAAAATAAAAACAAATATTCTTTCAAAAATTTTGAAACTACCTGTATCTCTTGTTTTGTGCACATGTTTAGACATGGCAATGTCAACAAAACCCAGCCCGATAAAGTGTGTCACAAAAAACCTTTCCAGTTTGTCATATTTTTTCTAAATATGGTTTGTTGATTATTTAAAATTTTATATATTATCACTTTAAACATTATTTTTAGTGGACACTTGTATTTGAGTAAAAATTCTATTTATTTATTAAAAAGTATATTTATTTTTCATCTATCAGCCTGAATATCCAAGAAATCAAAATTAAAGAAAAATATACACTCTTTGCCAGGATTTGAACCTGCATCCCTCTGAACAGAGGCAACTAGCATTAAACCTGATGCACTCTGACCATCTGAGTTACAAAGAACCAATTAGTCAGGCAAGACGCAAATTGTACCATTAAACAAAACTTCTCATCATAGACCTCCTGAAATGTTCATATCTGAACAATTCAGACCTAGTATATGTTTAAATAGGTATGTTTTCTAAACTGTGTTAGCATAGCATAGTAATTATCTGTAAGCCAAGTTCAAATTCTTGCTACATTGTGTTCACTTTCACACAAATACCTTTGGGAAAGGTAATGAATTAGCCTCCTCCCCCGTCTATGGGTTAAATAGTAGGACTTGTATCTGTAAAACTTATTCCTATTCCCTGAATAATTATTAATGCAATATTCACTTGTAAAAACAAAAATTATCCTTACAATCCAAAATATGTTTTGGCTTTAAATAATCCACAAAGGGTTAATAAGCCATAAAAAAAGAAACGGTCAATCTTCATAAGAGCAGAATTCTAAATTCTTTGTTATGGCATTAAAATATTATAGTGTAATAGATTAAGTTTGGTGACTGGAGCTGATTAAGACTGTATATAATGATTTGAGCTTCATGCATAAATGCGTTAATTTATGAACATGTGTAGTTTCCTTTCTCTATCAATTTAGTTCTAATTCATAATACTATATAACATTTGTGCCTGCAGTTCTTTTTGTTTCCTTTTTTCAGCTGAGATTTTAAAAAAGAAAGAAAAAAAAAAGTGGTCCTCAAACCCTGAATCTCCTTTAAAATTATGAATAAAAAAAAAAAATTAAAAAAAATATATCCATGTTACCAGCATCTGTTGTGATGTTTGCTGACTTTGTTTGTTTCCTCCTTTGATTTCTATTCCTTCCTTTGCCAACCACAGCCTCTGCTGATGGCCAGAGTACAAGTAGCAGCACCACCCACACAAGGGACCGCTCGCATACCGAGGCGTCGTCCTTAGACCTCGAGTGGGATCATGAAGCAGGTTGGTCGTCTGACAGAACTGGTCCTCTTTTGCTTCTATCCAACAGCCTCCTAGCCTTGCCACTGTAGACTCACTGTGCACTTCAGCTTTGTGACTATTAGACAATGCGTGCAATGTTTGTTCCCTCATCTGTTTTTTTTTCTCTTTAGCAAAATTTGAGAGTTTGAATTCTGTTCAAATTATTTGTCAATTTATCAAAGAAATCATCTTGAATGAGATTCAAACTTTTGTCCATTGACAAAGACTGAGTTTTAATTAGTCAAGAAAATAGAGGTATCTTTTTGACCCTCTTGCCAAAACACCAAATGCATATTTGATCAAGGACTGGTAAAATTCATATCTTATAATAAAACAAAAAAAATGATCATCTTTCTTAATTAGCCTGAAACAATTTAATATCAGAATAAAAAAAATCTTATTTGGATGTCATGTGTTAAGACACACCTTTCCTTAGCAGGTTTTTTAATTTCTCATAAGTTTGAATTGCAAAACTCTCATACCAGTCCTCTTGATGAAGCAGTAATTTGAATCTCATTGGAGTAAATTTCTTCTTTTACAAATATATCAATATGTTCAAGGCTTTAGAATCTTTTTTTCTCAAGCTCAAATCAATTTATTAGTTTGCATTTGTTTAACCAGTGCTTTTTTTTTGTGTGTGTGTGAGAAAACCTTTAAGTTCTTTTTTTTTTTTTTTTTTTTTTTTTTTTAAAATCATGCAAAGCCGGAACTTAAGTAGACTCGGATATTTGTTACATTTTTATGACAACAATTTAACTGTGGCACGTTCTCTTATCTTGCGATTACCTTCAATAAGCAACAATTCTGACTATAATCATGTGTTGCTGGGGGTCACGTTAAGCTCAGGCTTTGGCATGGATCCGAAGAATTTGGAAGTTTTTAAACTTCAAGATAAGAGAAATTGAGACATAACATTTTTATTTTGAGTTTTTATTTTTAACTCTCAGTTCTAGCTATATAGGAAAGTTACTTCTATGCTTTGTATTTTCATATGCAACATATTTTCATTAATGCTTATTAATGTCTCAAACAGAAGATAAGTAAAATCAGATGGACATGTTGGTTCCATCAGCAGCAATTGTCAACATGAGCAGCATTAACAAGAACTTTGGTACATTACTAACAGATGGTCATATTGGAGACAATTTATCTTAATATTTATTTCTAAAAGAATATTTCCTTTTTCTGTGTAGCAATGTTTCCGAGTTTAAGTTTGCCTGCTGATGTGAAAGGAAATTTTGCTGCTGCCGTATTTTAAGCTTGAATATAAGAATTGGTCAAATACTAAAGAAAAGAGCCAACAGTATTTGAATTTTGTTCAGGTAGTTTAGAAATTGGTTAATTTAATTTTGGGTTGGCAATGTCTGCAGCTAAATTCTGAATTTGGGATTACACTCTTGAAAATCTTGCTCCCAAAGCATGCATTTAAATTTAATTTAATTTAAACGCAATGTCAATCATTATTTTCTGTTTTCTTAATTCCTGTTCTTTTATTGTTCTTTTATTGTTCTTTCTCTTTAATAATATTTTCTTTTTCTCATATTCTCTAACACTCAGTAACCCCTTGAATTTTAATGGCTTTATTACCTTGCTTGCAGTGAAATGATTCAAAGAGATAAATCTGTTTTTAAACAAATTGGATGAATTCTATTTTTATACTATACACTGTCTTTTCATCAGTTAATTTCTCATGCTGTGTTTGTTGACATACATTACAGCATAAATTTTGAACATTTAAGTTTGGTTTAAGTATTGTACAAAGGAAAGGTGGGTTGGTTAGGCTCATTAACATGGACTGATCTCATCAAAAATCTCTAATTTCCAATCAAAATAAATGGTTCTTATTTTCTTCTGTTTTTATTTGTTTATTATTATTATAATAAATACCTTCTTTTTTTTTTTTTTTTTTTTTTTTAATTCCATGTTGAGCCAATCACATTCTTTAGCCTTCAAATTGTGGGAAATTGGAACAAATTTACCTTTTTATAAATAAAAAATATAAGGAATAATGAAAATGGATTGTTTTAGGATATCGGCCAAAGAACCCTAACTGCTGCAGTTTGCTGAAAGTGTGCATCATGTAATGAAGAGAACACACGGGTAAAATATTGTCATTAAAAACAAAAATTTTAGCTTTTTTTTTTTTTTTTTTTTTTTTTTTTTTTTTGCCATAATTTTATTTATTTATTCATTATTATTGTTTTTTTTTTTTTTTTTTTTTTTTTTTGCATGAGAGATATGTCACCTTCCCTTAATCTTTGCCCTGCCCTCTTTTTGTATCCTACCCTCTTGTAGTTCTCCATCTGAGCATCTTTGTTTCAGTTGACTCTGTTTTGTTGAAAAATCAGTCGAATTGCACTAGAAAGATAATCTGTTAGTTTATAGCAATTGTGACACAAGCATATCATTTACTTATCTAGAGAAAAATCTAGAAGGGTTAGTTGATGCATGTCATCTGACCAATTTGTGGCAAAAGATAAATACAAAGTCACAAATAAAATCCTGCATATGTTGGATTCTTTCAATTAATTCATTTCAGGTTAAATATTCAGTTGAAGTTTTTGTAATATCAACTAAAAAAAACAATCAAAAACTTTAATTTTTCTTTTCTCCAGATAAAAATTAAAAATTTAGTTCCAATTAATGGGACATTTTATTTTTTGCTAAATAAGTAAAAACAAATTTATTAAATATATTAAATAAGCTAAATATGGAAAAACAAAAAATTATGAAAATTGGATTTTTTTTTCCAAAACTGTTTCTGTAAACCAATGCAAAACATTTTTGTGGGAATCTCTTAAATCCGCTTTTTATTGTTTTCATTTCTTCATAATTTTGTCAAACTCTGCATCAGCCTATGACTATCTCTTGCCTTGTAAAATATATCTATTGTCTTCAATTGTACAATTGATGGTTTGCAAATGAATGCAAACCATTAGATCTTGTATCAATGGTTAAGTGCCAACCATATCTATTAATTGATAAGAATATTCTGGTAGGAAAAGGAGTGGATAATGAGATCTGGAAAGAGGAGTTACACTTAAGATGTAAGTAATATTAATAATTTAATTTATTTGACTGTTGTCTATACTAGAAAAAAATGTTTGTGTTAAAAAAAAAAATCCTGAATTCCAAATGTTGATTCAATTTGTATGTTTAATTTCATCAAGATATTGCAATTTCTTTGTAAGTCTTGTTTATCAATTCTACATTTTGCCAAATGGTTGCTTATGTCTTTCTGGATTAAATCTAGCCAAGGACATGTTTTTTTTTTTTTTTTTACCTAGAAGTATAAAATGAGTATTACTGTCACTTTTGAACATCTGATGAATCTGTTTTCAAAATAGTATGTACTGTTGTTTGGGTACTGTTACATATTTTTTCTAGTTTCTATATTGAATAGATAAAGACTTGGACATTTAAGTTGACTCTTGAATTCAATTATCAGTTGTTTTAAAAAAAAAAAAAAAACCTTTTTTTTTTTTTTTTTTTTTTTTTTTTCCAAATGTAAGATTATTCCATAAGTTTTTAAACTTTTTTTGTTGTATGTTATAAAAATGAAAATAGATGAAAATTAAACAACAGGCCAAAATAAATCAAATTTTGATCATTTCTTTGGGTCAAAATCAAAACTTTTGCTTATGAGGGTTTATGACTATATCATGTTGAAACACTTGTTCTCATACAATCACCAATGTTAAGCAGCCTCGATCCTGATCAATACCTAGATGGGTGACCCCTTGAGAATACCAGATGGTGTAAACTTTGATGTGCAGGTGATGTAATGGATAACAACATGAAATTGGAAATTGAAGAGCTTATTTCCAATTCCAGTCAGGTTCATTATATTCATTTACACACAAACACCCTTGGTAAAGGTATGAATCCACCTCTTCTCCTCCTTATTATGGGTTAATTAGTAAAACTTGTATCAGCAAATCATTATCCCCCACCACCTCAAAAAATGATTACAATCTAGAAATATTTTCTAGTTTGAAATAATCTGCAAAGGGTTGATAATCCTTAAAAACAATCAATCATGAGTTTCAATTTTAAGATTTTACTTTGCTTTCTCAATTTTCATATAAAAAAAAAAGAAACCATTATTCATATTTTGTCCTTTTACAGATATATTGTTAGTTATATCTGATATTTTTTACACACACACACACACACACATATATATATATATATATATGTGTGTATATATATATATATATATATATATATATATATATATATATATAGGCAGCAATTTTTCATTAATACATGTTTCATTAAATAATATAGACAAATTTTGTCTATTTTAAGTAAGTTCATTTCATATTGTCTGATAAGCTTAATCACATTATTGTTGAAAGACGAAAGGAAAACACCATATTGATATATGTTTAAATCCAATCTAAGCTTTCGGCTTACACATGTTGGTCACACCACAAACTTGCTTTCACAGCACTTGACACTACATTTAAATGATAACTCTAACATTTTTAGACATTTAAAGCAACATGCCTGTCCGCGTACTCAATTCCAGAAAATCCTTGTTGACAACACAACTATACTTAAGCATGAAAACAATAAACAAAAATTTAAAATTCTTGAAGCTTTATACAACAGTTGAAACCTAACCTAAACAAAATAAACTATGAAATCCCCACAAATGCCTATAATTATAACAGAAGCCATTGGTTTATACCAACAGCTTCCCATACTTAATACTTCTCGTTTTTCATTCTCTCGTGGTCATGTGTGATGTCACGAGCTGCGATGCGTTTTTCGCTTCCACGTCTCTTATATACAAGTTTGTCGTTACTTTGAAATTTTCATGCAGCAAGGGCGGACTATCATTGTTGTTTCGTCTTTGTGTTGTTTGTTTTATTGAAATTGTCATCTTTGATAATGGCTTGTGTAAGCCGAATGCTTAGATTGGATTTAAACATGTATCACTATGGTGTTTTCCTTTCGTCTTTCAAAAATAATGT